AAAGGTCAACGTAGAACTGGTCGTCTCCGGCCACGAATCACGAACACATCCAACGCGAGATGCACTTTTAAAAGTCACTTGCAATGCGCGATGTAGGCTCACGGGTCACGTACATAAACGTGTAATGTATCCAATCTTATAATATGTCGATTATATATATAAATATATATATATAATAATAATAGTGAAAAATCATCATCTTTGTTTGTTAGATGTGATGAATTTAGGATTTTCGAGAGGTCACCAGTTTCATATACTTTACATCAATGATTTATAATTATAGAAAATTTTAAAATAAATAGAAATGATTTACGGATTGTGACGGATTGAAAAAAATATTAAAAGTTCGTTGTGATTACAGATTTTTAATAAACTTCAATAATATTTTCATCTTGTACGCACAATTAGTCCAGGAATAAAATATATCTATTTTCTCTTATTATTAAAGAGAATCTCTTTATTAAGAAAATATTCCTAAAGAAAAAAAAGAAAAACACTGGAAAAACATTGTGATAATCGAATCGATCGTCATTTGCCTACAGCGGTCGTGTGCCGTGACAGAGGTCGAGTGAAACGGGAAATTCACTGCGGAATGTAGACCCTGTCAAGGATTACCGGTGAATAAAGACATCTATCATTCACCGATTCTTAATTAAATGCCATCGATTCGATTGCTAGTATTATTACTCTTCGCATAATCGTACGTACAGTCGTAAAATGAACAAAAAGCAATAACCTGTTTGGTCGAAAGGGGAAAAAATTAATTTCTTCGATCATCTCGTCTACCTTTCTCGATTTCTCGCGTTCGCCTCTCCTGAATCGTCCTCCTCCTGTTATCAGGCCGGTGGTGACGCGACACGGATGGTCTTTGCGAGTGAAATGCTTCTCGCGAAGGCCTCAAGGCCGACGAGATACCGCCTCTCACTTTCGTGTATACCTCTCTATGCAGGAGAGGGCCTCGTCGAGTCCGCCTTTCGCCCTCTCCTCTCTTCCTCCCCTTCTTTCATATCCCCTATTCAACCTGCATATTCTATTCTTCTCTCCCATTCCTCGTTCTCTTTGTGAACGAGGTGAAATGATCGGTAAAATCGCCTTCGTCTATCCTCCGTTCCTTTTTTTTTTTACAGGTAAAAAAAGAAAAAAAAAAGAAAAAAAAGAAAAAAGAAGAATACGGAGGGAATTGGAAGCATTAAAGGAGAATATAACATATAAGTTTGTAAGGATGATGGGGATGTTTCGAAGTGTTCTTTTTTCCTTAGGAGTGGTGTGTACACGCGTTAAAGCGCGAGATGTATAAAAGATGAGAAGTGCGAGAGTGCAGATGGAGCACGCCCTCGACATTCCAAACATGCCCGTTGGAATTTCTCCTGCATACATCCCACACAATCGTGCGTATGTAAATAAGACGAAGAAAAGTCACTTACAGAGATAAAGATCGTCGCGAACGATACTCGTAGATTCGTCAAGGTTAAAAGCCTTTAGCTATCAGGGATACACCCACGAGCAAGATCTCGAAAATTCTTATTTTTCCCGTTAGTGGAAATATATTCTATTCTCGCTATTTGTGTGCGTACTTTTCTTTTTTCCTTTTTTATCTCTTTTTAAACTATTGTGTGCGTGTTTTTTAGAATTTTTATTGTATTAATTTACATTTATACAGTAAGTACCTTGAGTATTCGGTGAATGGCAGCCTTCTTCTATATATATATACATGTCATTTCGAATGTACTTTCTCCATTAATGCGCAAACATAGATATTACAAAACTGATAGTTACAGGTTTGTCCACGCATTTGTCACACTCTTTTCGTCATGTTTCAATTTTTTTTCTTTTTAAACGCTAGGAGATTCGATATACAAGAGAGAGAGAGAGAGAGAGAGAGAGAGAGAAAGAGAGAAAAAAGAGAGAAGAGAGAGAGAATGAATTTTGAAACTCGCAAGTATTGTATACGTCTAAAAGTAAATTTTCATCGAGTTTTCGACGAGAGAACGTGGTCGATCGCTGTGATTGGATTTTAATTTTAAATTTAAATTTCATCCCGCGTTAGTCGAACAAAGCTGGAAAATCCGCGATCTTCCCAGCGATTCGATTTAACCTCTGCGATACGGTTTCGGTTTCACTTGAACCTCTTCTCGCTGAGTCTCCTCCACCTCCTCTTGTAAAGGTTTGCTTCCCCTCGTCCCTCCAAACCTGCCGCGCCCCGTCGATTTCGTCTCGCTTGTGGCGCCGTTACTTTTGTTGCGGCTGTGCGTGGTCGCTCTGAAATAGAACATATTTTTATCGACATTGAAATATCGATGAGAATTAAATTCATATTCATTCCTTATTTCTAAAAATATGAACATTAAACAAATAAAATATCTTTCATACTAAAAAAAAAATATTTAAATCTACTGAAAAAAAAGAAAAAAGGAAGGAAGATGGAATTCGTTTCAAAAAAAAATTTAAATCTACTAAAAAAAAAGAAAAAAGGAAAGATGGAATTCGTTTAAAAAAAAAATATATAAATCTATTAAAAAAAAAGAAAAAAGGAAGGAAGATGGAATTCGTTTAAAAAAAAATATTTAAATCTAAAAAAAAGAAAAAAGGAAAGATGGAATTCGTTTAAAAAAAAAATATTTAAATCTACTAAAAAAAAAGAAAAAAGGAAGAAAGATGGAATTCGTTTCAAAAAAAAATATTTAAATCTAGTAAAAAAAAAAAAAGAAAAAAGGAAAGAAGATGGAATTCGTTACTTGGATTTAGGTGTCGTCGATTCGGTGGCAGTTTGGGTTGCAGAGGTATCCCGATGAGAGGTGGTGGGTCCCGCTTGAGCTCTTCTTCTCTTCAACGCGTCCAACAAATCTTGATTCGACCTTAAATCGTAAAACGTTTCGAAGGAATCATATTGCCGATCAATAAGATTCGAGGCAACGAAAGAAATGGCGCAATTACCTGAAAGGTCTGACTCCACCTCGAACTTTCTTGGAAGATTCGGTGGTCGTGGTCGGCGCCTCTTCTTGCTCTTGGTTATCCTCGAGCTCCTCCTCCTCCTCCTCCTCGG